AACAGGAGATATTCTGGTTATTTGCCAGTCTGTGCCACTCTTAAGCACCGTAGGAGGCAGCAGTTTTTATAAATACTGAGCTGCACATTCTGAGCGTTTTGATTAGTGATCGGTTACGCTATCCTGGTTCCAAGTGTAAGCGCATGTAGGTACTGCGAGTAAGATAAACCGAAGAAGGGTACTGAAATCGTTAGTGCGAAAGAGGCCAGAGCTCAAACGAAAAAGGCAACCTGATGATTCAGTTTAGAGGTGGGGTTTGGCTTGGAGCCAGAATGAGAACTGAGTTGAGGGTTAGGGTTTGTAATAAGTTCAGGGGTTACGGTTATATTTGGGGTTTGGATTGTGGTTTAGTTTACGTCTAGTGTTGAGGGCGGAGTTAGGGTTAGTGTTAGGGCTAGGATTTGGGTAAGGGCTAAGGCTAGGCTTCGGGTTAGGGCTAGGGTTTGTGGTAGGTTTAGGGCTAAATTTAGTGTTATGTCTAGGGTTAGCGTTAGGTTTGTAATTACGCTATGGATAAAGTTTGTTTTTGAGGTTACGGACAGGTTTACCGTTAGCTTTGGTGTATTGCTTCCCCGCGTGTCTCGTCAGCCAGGTCTTTTGAGGGGATTTGAGGCTTCCTTCAGTCTAGCAGCAAATGTGTTATACATGACGTCGTCTTTTCCGTTTGAGTCTCGGCCTCTTTCCCCACCAATAATTTCAGCATCCCTCTTCGGCTTATTTTACTTTCAGTGTCCCCATTGAGCTTACACTTGGGACCAGGACAGCGCAGACGACCCTTGCCACTTTTTGTGATCTCAACATGGCGCGCAGGCAAGCAGATGCCAGTCGGAGTCATTAAAGTTCATCACAATGTGAATCCAAGATGTGTGTGTGGAATTGCCTGATTTAACCACAACCACTACGCTAAGCCTCGATTAGCCGGACACGGAGTTGCTCTCTTTGGTGGCAGAAGTCGCTGGTGGGGTGAGGTTGTTTGATGAGAGTGTTGCATCGACTGTCAATGCCTATCTGCCCATTGATGCCTCAACACAGCCCGCGCAATCCGCCCACTTGTGTGCGTGTGTTTGGGTGGTGTGGCGGACTGGTGGTCTGAGAGTCAGACTGCCTGGGTTCCTTCTTAAAGTGACCTGTGTCACCCGCACGCCAGTGAGTAGTATGTGTAACTTAATAGGTAGTGCCTTTCAGTCACTGACTGACTGGCTACCCAGCCTTTGAAGGGTAAGGACTCAGGCTCAGTGTGGGGTCGCGTGTCACCCTTCTGGGCCCCAAGGTTTGTGAGCGTCTGCTATGCCGGGATCAGCAAACCATGGCCCTCACAGACTGGTGTGCGCTGGCAGTTCTCCGGAACCTGATTATCTGGCGGTAGATGCGCTTGTGCTTCCGCTGGTGGCTGCCCAGTCATCCTCATCTTTCTGACCCGTTTTTGTGTTGTTGTTGTTGTAGGTTAAAATCCTGGTCAAGCGTTTGTTGTGGACAAGGGCTGTGGAGTGGAGCGCCAAGGTGCAGGTTCGGCCGCGCCATCAACCTGCGTCCTCCTGCGCTCTTGACTCTGTCTTGACACCGGATTCAGGTGAGGGAGGAAAGAATGCGATAGATGCTGTGCAAGTCTACACCCGTTATGAACTAATTCACGTGCAAGTCACCGTGCCTGCTTCAACTTACTGTGGAGCACTCGCTTGACATCGTCGGACGCGACGGTTGGACTATCATCACCGACAACGATATGGTGGACGGAACGTCGCATGTCAGAAAATGCCCGTCTCACTTAGGTGGGAAGCATGCCCTTTGGTACATCCTGGTACATGAAGTGGGCACCAGGTCGTATGTGACACACGAAGACAGACACTATCAGCTGATTGGCCGGATCGGACAGTCAAGCGAGTGAGGCCTACATTGAGGCATGAAGTCTCACGGTTTCGATTGGGAATATACAATGGTAGGGGGCGAAGCCGACAGGGCGACGGGCTCGTGACCCATTGGTTAGAGGCGTAGACTTCTAACTAACAGATCGCGAGTTCGAGCCTCGGGTGTTCCACACTTTGGGGTTGGGTATAACTGGCTGACGACGTCTAATAAGCCAGAAATGGCCATTCCGGTCTCCCTTCTCTTTGTCGGTAATAACATAATGACCAGCTGTTCCTTTGTGCCGACAAGAATGTACGTGCTTCAGTCTTCTCAAAGTCCGAAATCTGGTGCTGGCCATGATTTTAGTTGAAAATGGACGAGGCAGTTATACCTTTAGCTTTTTTGGGTGTTCAGCATGATGGCTTAGAGCCAGCTGATGCGTCAGACATGTGTTCGCAGTCAGAAAATTGAAGATCACGATAGCAACCACGATCCCACCGCGACAGATGTCCTGCTGAAGCCTACCACGCCGGATCCTGTCACACATACGCTGACACTGCAAGAGACGATCAGGTCGATGACGCAATAAGAGGCCTCCCGCTTGCTACGACCACGGAAACTTGCTATAGTGGCAGCGAAATCTCTGGTGCCTCGCCGCAAAGTCTGTTCCAAGAGGGGCCTATGACACAAGTGGGGTAATATGAAGGGCCTTTTTAATGTCTTAGATTTGACTATTTTTTGAAGTTTTTGTCTTGAGTAAGCATACTGCTAGATGGTAGTCGAAAACGGCTGGCAGACCTCTTCGAATTATGTAATCGAGAAACTGTAAATTTTGCTTCTGATGAATTCTCATCAAGCCAGCACATTTATGTGGTAGCGGGGTCACTTAAAACATACAAGTAATTAGAGGCGTCGAGCAATGTTCGTCTTTACACACAGTTGGAAATTTGAGAATATAGGTTGACAATTAGAGACAATCGGTAATAAATATTAGTGCGGACGATAGGAGAGATGGGAAGAGTCGTGTCAGGCAGTTAACTGGTTGGCCGAAAATTGGCCATGGTGGATATGGGGTTAGAACTAAATGCTTTACAGAATAGAAGGCCGCATTTTGCTATTGCCGGCAAAACGTTTTCTCCGTGGTTTTGGATAGTTCGGTGTTGGTATCCTGAACATTACGCGGAATGTTTAGGTGTCCCGAATCAGCTACATTAGCAGGGACGGCGTTGATTTCGGAGGTGTTCAGAAATCCTGTTGAAAATACACCGACTCGTGTGAGGATACGCAAGAAATGATGAAAGTGTATGAGTTAGAATAAGAAACAGGCATATTATTATTAACGACAAGATGCAAATTATTACTACTGATACGAGGAACACTCAGTACACAATATGCTAAAGTACGGAGTTCACACAAGTAAAACGCATTCGCAGTTAGACGAAAACGCACAAGCTTTCTGTCCACCCGTCCCTGTTTTACTGTCAAAGGGAATTTGCTTTTGTTAATCTTGTTTCAAGCTGGCGATGCTACATCACTCCGAGGACTGCAGCAGTTGGTTAATTAGATGACAAATGTTCTGTTAGCAAACCATATTTTACAGGCATCAGTCTATTTATTTCATTTTGTGAATCTGCTAACTGACGCAGCGAAGAATGATGCAACGAACTGCCTTCGCAGTTTTTTCCCTTCCAGTACATTTTGCAAAGTGCACTCGTGCTAGCCTTTGAAGGGGCTGACGTCAAGCTCCGGTTTTCTAGCGTACAAAACGCTACGTTTGCTGCAGGAGATGCCTTAAACACGGCTTTTGGGTCAGCCGATCCAGGGCCCAGTCTGCTAGCGCCGAGGGCACTTGAGAAATAAATGACCCAGACAGGGGACGTCTATTCAGTGAACAGTTGTCTCGTACTCGTGGTTCTTTGAATTATTGACACGAAATTAGTAACCATAAGAATGTATATTGGATGTTGGTGTGTGCGAGAAAAGTTGCGGGAATTAACGCGGACAGGTGATGACTGGAAGTGGTTTTAATGCAGGTAAGCTCCCTTTCAGCGTTTTGTTAGCGGAGGGGCAGGTCTTGTCGAGAATTACTGGGTTGATGTCTTGACAGTTCGACCATCGATTTCGATGATGTCCACCGTGTGCCCCACAGCAGGTTGGAGCAGGGACGGTGACTTGCGCAGGGGTTTATAGTGCCAGTAGACTTGCGCTGCATCTACCTACACTCTCTCCTCCTCCCTCGCCCGAGCCCGGTGTCAAGACAGAGTCAAGACCGCAGGTGGATGGCTCGGACGGATCCTCACCTTGGCGTTCCACCACACCCCCTGGTCCACACAACAATAACCAGGATTTCAACCAACACAACTGAGATTTGGAGGCTGGCACGGCCGAAGCCGCACCTGGGCGTGCCGCCAACGCCTGGCTCGGATCCCACACTGTGGTGGGAGTGCCATAAAGGCCACATTAAAAAGGAGCCATTGCAGCCTGACTCTCAGACCGCCTCCCGTTAAGGAGGAGGTCCAAATGACCCGTCAGTTGGCAACCTTCCAAGCCACGGCTTTTAGCGCACCGTGATAGCTTCAAGCGCGTCAGATTGATTATAGTGAGGAAGAAGTGCGCTGAGTCGTCGACCTCACTCTCCCTTCCCATTCCCGCACTCCAGCCGCCGTCCAAGCCGGTCGGCAAACTGGAGTGGGGAATGGGCGCGGTGGCTGCCACGGTCGACTGACCGTGACTGCGTGCGCCACAGCACGACCTGGCCCCCCATACACACACAAACACCAGGATTTCACACAACGGGGGTTGAACGGCGTGTCTCTCACTTGCGTGAGAGGGCCGTGGAAGGTGCTGCTTCAGCCCGTTCCCAGCCCACCAGTCCGCCACTCCACACAGCACACACACACAACGCGACGAACCGCGTGAACTGAGAGCGGGCATCAATCAGCAACCTTCCTATCCACGACACTTGAAGTGTCGGGGTAGTCTCGGACTCAAATCACCCGTACAACCGAAGCCGCGTGGGAACCGAAACGAGATGCACACTTCCCACTTGCGTGGAAGGTGGCAGTTGGTGCATGCGGTGGGTAAGTGTTGATGTGTGTTGGTGATGGTGGAGGAGGATAGGGAGTGTGTGGATGTGTGGTGTAACCGGCGGTTGTCTACCGCAGGTCGTCGTGGATGCGCATGCGGCCGAATAGGCCCATGCGGTGCCTGAAAGTGCGAGGACAGTGTGGACAGTTGAGACGAGCTTGGTGGGTGTAGGTTGGTGGTCCAGGCACTGGTTCTCCGGTCTCTGTGCGATGGATTCGCAAGTGACCGACCAGGGCGATGCGTGAGGTAAGTGTGCGTGGACAGTGTGGGCACGTGAAGTCGGCGGCGTCAGAATCAGCTACAGAGGAGGCGTTGGTGGTGGCGCAGATGGACGGTGCGAGGGTGGTGCTGGGCATGATGGGCGTGGTTGGTGTGTCGGAATTGTGGTTGATTCCGCTCTCGTGGATGCGTATGTGGCCGAATAGACCCATGCGATGCGTGAAGGTGCGAGGGCAGTGTGGGCAGTGGAGGCGAGAGCGGTGGGTGTAGGTTGGTGCTTCAGGCACTGGTTCGCCGGTCTCTGTGCGATGGATTCGCAAGTGACCGACCAGGCCGATGTGCGAGGTGAAGGTGCGGTCGCAGTGAGGACAGGTGTAGTCCTGATTCTCATTGCTGGAGTCAGGAGAGGCGGGGGTGGTGCCGGTTGTTGTGTCGCGGTCGGAGATGTGCGAGACGGCTGCCTGAGCGGCCGCCGTTGGGGCAGTGGTGGTGGGGATGGTGGTGGAGGAGGAGGAGGATAAGAAGGAGGAGGAGGAGGAGGAGGAGGAGGAGGCAGAGGAGGCAGAGGAGGAGGAGGAGGAGGATGGAAGTGATGGTGCAGAAGAATTCACAGTGTTATTCGGCGGCAGAGAGGACGAGGATGACGCGGGCGGGGGGATGAAGTTTGGTGCAGTTCGAGAGGCACAGTTGATCCGAAGATGTCCAACAAGGCCGATTCGAGCCCGGAATGTCCGCTTACATCGAGGACACGTTGGAAGCAGTTGTGCGGCAGCGTTGCTGACTGGGCGCAGTTGTGAGTTGCGGGCTTCGCGTTTCGCTTTGGCGGCGGCGATGCGGTTGGCTTCGTGGATAGCAGCGCCCGTCTTCACTGTTCTCCTCCATACCGGACGATCGCAGGCGAGCTCTTCCCAGTTGGTCGGGTTGATTTGCAGTGGCTTCAGAGAGGACTTCAGGGTATCCTTGTATCGATGAATTGGGCCTCCTTGACGACGAGAACCCGTCGCGACGTCTCCGTAGAAGAGTCGTTTGGGCAGCCGCTCGTCGTCCATGCGCACCAGGTGGCCGCTCCAGCGCAGCTGCATTTGTCTCAACATGGAGTAGATGCTGAGCATTCCCGTTCGTTCCAACACATCAGTGTCGGGGATGCGATCCTGCCAGTTCAGCCGCAGGATGCGACGAAGACAACTGAGGTGGAAGTGGTTCAGACGGCGTGCCTGCCTCGTGTACACCGTCCAGGTCTCCGCTCCATACAGTAGCGTCGGCAGGATGACGGCCTTGTACATCTTCAGCTTCGTGTTCAGTTGAAGACCGTGACGATTCCAAACTGTGCTTTGGAGACGACCGAAGGCTTGACTGGCTTTCGAGATCCTGTTGGCGACTTCGTCATCAATCTTGGTGGTGCGGGAGAGAGTACTGCCCAGGTACGGGAAGTTCTCCACCACTTGCAGTAGGGTCCCATTCACGCTGATTTGCGGCGGCGCGTTGGGGGCTGTGGCTGAGTTGGGTGGCGGTTGGTGCACCACCACCGTCTTCTGCGTGTTAATGACCAGACCGAAGTTCTCGCAGGCGGCGGAGAACAGGTCCATGCTCCGTTGCATCTCCTCTTCTGAGGTGGTGTTCAGGGCGCAGTCGTCGGCGAAGAGGAGTTCGTGAACGGTTGTTTTGTATACGCGTGATTGGAAGTGCATCCGCCGTTGATTCAGCAGGTGACCGTCCGTCCTGTAGGCAATGCGAATCCCGGGACGTTCGTCGCGGTAGGCGTCCATCAGCATGGCAGAGAACATAAGACTGAAGAGGGTTGGTGCCAGCACGCATCCCTGCTTCACTCCGTTAGTCACTGCGAATGCCTCTGAGACAGCTCCGTTGTCCGTGGCTCGCGCCATCATACCGTCGTGCAGCTGACGCACCATCTGAGTGAATCGCTCCGGACAGCCGAATTTCTGCATGATCTTCCACAGTCCTTCACGATTCACCGTGTCGAAGGCTTTCGACAGGTCCACGAAGGTAGATTACAGGTGGGTCCGCATCTCCTGACACTTCTCCTGAAGTTGGCGGGCGGCGAAGATCATATCCGCGGTCCCACGATGACGATGGAAGCCGCACTGGCTTTCCGGCAGAAGGCCCTGTTCCAGGTGGTTATTGAGGCGGTTGAGAAGGATGCGAGCGAAGATCTTCCCGGCGATGTTCAGCAAGGAGATGCCACGGTGATTGTCGCAGACTTGGCGATTCCCCTTTCGCTTGTATAGGTGCACGATTGTTGCGTCCTTGAAATTTTGCGGGACTTCACCTTGACGCCACATCTCCTGGAAGAGCGCAGTCAGGTGATCCATGAGTTGGGGACCTCCGTGCTTGTAGACCTCAGCAGGGATTGCGTCCGATCCGGGTGCTTTCCCGCTGGAGAGTTGCTGCACGGCCCTGATGGTTTCCTGGAGAGATGGCGGGAGGTCTAGGTCCCAAGATACGGAGGCTGAAACACAACATCTACTCCACAGAGAGTCGCTCTCATACAGTTCCATGCAACCTACTGAAATTCCGTGAGTTGCCACTCCCGCTCATTTCCTTATTAAGATCACAAGTTTTTTCGATAGTGCTTTGTTTGCTGTCTTCATCGGCTCACGGAAGTTTGCTTGATGACTAAAAAAACTTGACGATTTTTGCGCCTGCAATTTCCCTATAAAAGCCAAAAGCATACATTAATTCGTTATTTTCTATCAACCGGCGGATAATTGTGCGCTTCGCAGAACACCATGAAAACTGACGGTCGACCAGATGGCCAGTCGTCATGGCTCCTCCCCTTCAGGTCGTGTAGTGCCGTACGTAATGGCGCAAGCCGCTTTAGGCCGAAAGCTACCAACGTTAGGAGAGTAAAACAAGTGCCCACCTAGTGCTGGTAAACCAAGTCTTCTGACTTGAGGTGCACAACAAGTAACCCCACGAAATAAATATTTTCCTGCACCAATAGAACAGGGTTTTGGCGGACGTTGTAGAATCGTTCGGAGCACTCTGTGGAGGCATATTTAAAAGTGAAGTGAAAGTTTATTCAGAGACTTGTCCAAAACTGTAAATTGCTTTCTTCGTTGAGAGTTCACCGTCTAACGGTTCGTGATGGGGGGGGGGCGTTAGAGGTAATAAATGTTATACGGCGGTTGTAATCTCTGTAACCCCTTATTTTGTGGACCGGTCGTCACTCTCAGTTCCCCATGTTTCGCACCTACTGAACTGTTTAGTCTTCTGCCCTGTTGTACACGGCGGTTCCGACTGTCGAGAGACTTCCACTATCAGCCAGTTTCGAACATGCGGGGTATTACAGCCACGATATTGTGAGTTAAACCGCTCGTGCCCACTTATGTTAGACAATACGAAAGAATAGGTATTTCTATGTGTTCACGGACTTCATCGTCGCCGACTCCATTGGTCCCGGTGTCGAGACCAATTTCGTCGGGAGACTCCATGTATCAGTGGAAGTTAAGCGATCTAAACGAATGACCGAGTCTGAGAGATGAAGACGGGCCTTTTGTTGGTCTGTCATTATCAGGTAAGGATATTCCAGGCTGAGCCTGACTAATTTGGTCTTCAACAGTTTCGAGAAACCAGTCGAAATCCATCGCCTTCGTGCTATGAGCTACGAGGTCAGGTTTATGTGGCTTGTGACTGGGATTTCAGACAAGTTAAGCGTTACAAAATTGATTGTTAATCATGTATATTTCCCCCTGCTCGAGCATGCGGCAAAAAAACTTTGGATGCCTCGAGTGTCCTTCAGAGCCTTTAGATCAACAGTGTACGGCGAAACTCTCCAACTATCGGCCGAAGTCACCAGGCACCCGTTTCTTAATTCAGAGAGCGCGTCAGTAACCTTGGAATGCTAATCAGCATGAAATGAAATACAAAGTAAACACACTCGGCTGCAGATATGCGTTTAGTGGATTTTGATGACTGTGTTAATTCAATTAAATTCCATTTTTGTGCTCGTTTTCACGAAATTCCGTCGTCTGTACACGCTTCACTTGAAAAATCGGAGCATTTCAGCATTTTGATCTTTTGAAGCCCAGTCTGTTTTCTCCCTCTGTCGTAAGGGTCCCAAACTCCATCCTCTGTAATTCTCCCTAAAAGACCATGGGTCTCTTCATGTGCTTAGGTAGGAAATACCGAAGCCTATAAGGCATTGCAGTACTTATCGAATGATTAGTAAACTTCGAAACCGTCATTTTAACCCTACGGATTGAAAACCGCAAATAGACATGCAAACATTTCAAAAATTCCCAGAATTACAAAATATTAACGACCGAAATGCCATTTTTTCAAGGGTGAGCTCTAAAAAGGTTATTTTTTACGTGATCAGAATAGAAAATAGCTTTTATGAATTCCTTAAAGAGCTATATGATCGAATCTAGACAGCCCCCAAGGTCAACAGAAAATGCACCCGAATTTAGTAGTCTTTTGTGTGACTCACGCGAGAATAAGATGCTCGGTCAGAATCCAGGCTTCTATCGTATCCGGATAGACTTACGGTTTTTTAATGCCAGTCAGCGCGACACCCTTACCAAGGTAACCTTTAAAAATGTATTCCAACCAATTGTTCACGCGTTTCCGAGCATATTATGTTCGGGAGAACTCATGCTCTTTATATGAATTATAGTAATAGAGCGTTTTAGTTGAAGTAGGTGGCATATGCGGAACGAAGCACCCACTTTGGTAAGCTGTCCTTTACCTTTCTCATTATTTGCATCCTTAAAAAGCGCCTTACGGCATTGGAGGCTCCTTTATCCTCACGGTGGGCTCACGTGATGGTCGTAGTGGTCGCTCACTTGCTTGCAGGTGAGACTACGCCTAGCGTCCATTTGCTGGCACCCAACTCTCACCTGTGGCTCCTCGTAGCTGGGCTCTGCTCAGCGGCCACACCCCGGGCAACCGTCTCGAACGGCGGGCTAAACCAGGTGAGGGCGCTGTGCGCTTGTGCCGCGTGCACAGTGTACTGCGGACTCCGCTGGATGGATGGTCGGATGAAACACTGCGCCGGCATCGTCGAGACGAGGCTCTGCCTGGTACGCCGTTGGATAACTGCTGCCGGGACGGGTCTCCGCATCGCCTTCGCTGAGATGCGCCCACCCTCGCCGACGGAGACCGCGGACTCACGGCATATGCGGTCCTTCTCCACTACGAACATAAAAGTCGTGGCCCCATAGTGGGATCGGTCGCGCCAACAAGGCATATGGGCAGCCCGATTCAGGGGCGGCACTGCCTGCCCCCATGAGGGGAAGGGCCTAGAAAAGGTGGCCTAAACATTGCTGGGTACCACGCCGTCTCCAGGCTAGCCAGGGCCGCAGACGTCTAATCATGTTCGCAACAATCCAAATCGAAACAACAACAATACCAATAACAACAACAACCATACTCCTTCTCCTCATCCTAACTCTTCTACCTCTTCCTCTGCCTATTCTTCTGCCTATTCTTCTCCTTCGTCACCTTCTTCTCCATCTCCCTCCCGTCGCCCCACTCGTCGTCACCAGACTGGCAGGGCGAGTCCGCTCACTCTGGCAGCCTGGAATGTTCGTTCCCTTTTAGACAATCCGAGGAGCAACCGACCGGAAAGGAGGACAGCGTTAGTGGCACGAGAACTGGCGCGCTACAAGGTGGACATCGCCGCACTCAGCAAGACCCAATTCTCCGAACAAGGCCAACTGGAGGAGGTGGGTGCCGGCTACGCTTTCTTCTGGAGCGGTCGACCCAGGGCAGAGCGACGGGACGCGGGTGTCGCCTTCGCCATTCGGAACGACATCGTGGGACGACTGCCCTGTTTGCCGCAGGGCATCAACGATCGCCTGATGAGCCTCCGCCTGCATCTCCGGCGGGGGGGCCAATTCGCCACCATCATCAGCGCCTACGCTCCGACGATGACCAACCCCGACGCCGTCAGAGACAAATTCTACGAGGACCTGCACGCCCTCTTGGCGACTGTGCCGATGGCGGACAAGTTGGTTGTCCTTGGCGACTTCAACGCCCGCGTCGGCACAGACCATACTGCCTGGAGGGGAGTGCTAGGTCCCCACGGTCTCCGCGGCTCAAACGACAATGGTCTGCTGCTGCTCCGCACCTGCGCAGAACACCGCCTTATCCTGACAAACACGTTCTTCTGTCTGCCGGAGCGAGAGAAGGCCACCTGGAGGCATCCTCGGTCGCGCCAGTGGCACCTGCTGGACTATGTCCTCGTCCGAAGGCGTGACCAGCGGGACGTGCTGGTGACGAAGGCGATCGCGGGTGCTGACGGGTGGACCGACCATCGCCTCGTCATCTCGAAGATGCGTCTTCGCCTACAGCCTCGCAGGAGACCTCAAGGTAAGCGACCCCCAGGTAAGCTGAATGTTGCCTTGTTGTCCTTGCCCGCTCACCATCTCCATTTCAGCAATGAGCTAGCTCAACGGCTAGACAACCTCCCCATCGCCGATGCCGCCGCTGCCGAAAACGCCTCCGTGGAGAACCGCTGGTGTCAACTGCGAGACACGGTCCAGGCGACGGCGTTCACCGTCCTCGGTCGCGCTCCCCGCCAACACCAGGACTGGTTCGACGACAACGACGCCGCCATCAGCAATCTGCTTGCTGAGAAGAACCGCCTACACAAAGCCTACGTCGATCACCCCACTGACGATAACAAAGCTGCTTTCTACCGCAGTCGCCGCCACCTCCAGCAGCGACTGCGCGTGATGCAGGACGCCTGGACTGCTCGCAAAGCTGAGGAGATCCAAGGCTACGCGGACCGCAACGAATGGAAGAACTTCTTCTCTGCGATCAAAGCTGTCTACGGTCCGCCGACAAAGGGCACTGCTCCTCTCCTCAGCGCCGACGGCAGTACTCTCCTGACTGAGAAGACGCAAATCCTTCAGCGATGGGTCGGGTTGATGTCTTAGTACACAGTAGAATACCATGAAGACTTCGGTTATAGTTTACTGGGGTATATAACTAAAACAAGATGAAGTAAATCGGCTCATCTTCGTGAAGTTAAGCAAGTAGCGTTGGGGGGGGGTCTGGAATGTTCATCGAGGGTCCATAGTCTAAACCTAAGAGGGGAAGACGCAGGTTAGAGGGGTTTTGTATCAAATAATGTCCTATTCACGAACCACTGACTTACGCTCCGCCGGAATATTTAGGTTTGCGGTGGAGTGGTGTTCATTTGCCCTAACTAATCAAAAACAGTCGCTTAATGACGTCTTTTGCTGCTCCGAATTTTTTTTCGATACGTTTGATTGCATAGTCTTCAAGTGAGGGAATAAGATCCCGATTTTTGTCGTCTGCTACAACTTCGACAGGAAGGCAGTTGGTTTTTTTAATTTCCTGTTTTAGCGGGGGTTCTCTCCAAGGCGTGAGGGGTAGTGAAATTGCCATAAACCCTTTTCCTGTCAATCATCCTCATGTGAGCAAGAGTGAGAATCGGAAACGCTAAGCTAATAAAATTTATTGCTCCAGCCATCTCATCCCCTTCCTGGAGTTCGCCTTTTGGCTTGCGTCGGTAATTGCTACAGTTTCCACTATTTCTGTGCTACTTTATTGTGAAGTAGGAGACGGATTTATCTAGAATCGAAAACACCCAACAGACAGCAGGCATGAGGAGAGGCTTTAGGGTGTTCAGATATGTCAGAACTGAGGGCTCATCTTAGTTAGAAGCACGAGGGGAGGGAGAAGGGGAGGGAGTCCCCCCAACTGTTGTTTTGTCGCTGTGGCTCCAAGTGGCAAGATGCGGACACGAAGACGTAGGACTAAAGTCGGGCCAGGGAAGCTTGAGGACCTGAACCAGCGCCTCCTTTGAGCACAAGATTGAGTTGGTTAGCCTTGTAGCCTGCACGTTTTTAACCCACCCCCCCCCCTTGAATACTGTTCATTGTCTGCTTTCAGTTTTTCTGCTCCACCGCAAATTATTTACTCAGAATTGCCCAAAATTTATTTGTTGTTAGTCAAACATGGCATAAATCAGTGCGTCCGCCGTAACCTCGCGTCCTTAATGGGCAGCCACTAAAGGAAGGTCATAATAGATTCTTTCAAACTTCGGAATGAGTCGTGGAGGTCCTCCTTGCCGATCTTTCCCTATTATTGGCAACTGGGTAAGATGTGGTTATGCAGCCCCACCTGATTGACACAATACTGTTTAGGTTGAGGTTAGGGTTGCGAGTAAAGGCTAAGCGTTATGGTTAGGGATTAGGGCAACTATTTCTCAACCACTCAAAGTGCAACCGCGCATTTTCAAATAGCTTTTCTTAACCTCGTCGCCTTCGCGTTCCCCGACCCCCTCCGTAATAACCCCTATTACCACCAGTGCCGTTTTACAGGTGGCTGGGATTTGTTTACTTCAGGTGGGGCTACGTAACCACTTTTGACCAGTAAATGTTTTGGCAGATTTTGAATACTGTATTTTGACCCAAAATGTGACCCCTGTGGGATTCAAACCCACGAGAGCAAGGGGGAGCCTTAACTACAGCCAACGCTCTGGTCACCTGGATTACAAAGGCCCACCAGGAGCCGTGCCTTTAATTACATTTGAGGCAAATTACCCGCTCAGCCTACAGGAACCTTTGGAATTCACGAAATCTGGCTCACCGCGGGACCTCGTAACAGAGGTGGCTAGGGTGCTGACTGCACTCAAGCCCTCCCCTTGCTGTCATGGGTTCAAATCCCACCGAGGTGGACGAGATTTTCACAGTTGGGTCAAAATACAGTAGGCGGGCTAACTCATGAAAAGTCAATCGAAATTCCGAAATGCGTTTTTGTTTAGAAAAGATTAATTAAGTAGGGTTGTAAAATTAGTCAGCCTGCAACATAATTCTATAATATTTCAGTTACCTCAGGATGGCGACTTTCGAATGAACGTCCTTCTGGCTGCATGCAAAGCTACACTCTGTTTAAAATGACTACGTAATTAGCATGCATTTTTCTCGTTGATTTTCGATGCTCCAAAAAGTCCAATTATATTTCATGGAGAACATGTATAAAAATATTCCATCTTTTGCTCATTCGGTAGACAATTACGTCTTTTTCCAATTTTATACTCGAAGGAGGGCTATAATTCGGTTTGAAAAAGTTTCTAACTGTGGGATTTTTAAAAACTGCAAAATGGCCGTTCATAAATCATCATGTCTCTGCATTTACCGTTGCAGCTTGTAATTTTAACAATATGAATCAAATCCATTGCCAAATTTTATGAACCCTATATGCCCTTCCTTTTATTACCGCAGAGAAATGTGTGGTTTCCCGTACGCGAAAAATATACGGTCTGTAGTTTGAAAACCCTGAATCCAAGTGTAACGTTAGAGCGGGTTCAAAATTATTTGAGGATTGGAAAAGTTCTTGCAAACCGAATTATACTCCGCCTTCGAGTAAAAATTGAAAGAAGGCGTAATTTTCTAGCGAATGAGGAAAAGAATGAATATTTTTATGACCGTTTTCCAAGAAATCTAATTGGACTTTTAGGGGCATCGACAATCAATGAGAAAAGTGCATGCTGCTTAAGTAGTAATTTTTTGTAAAATGTACTATTTAAACGAGGCCGAAAGGAAGTTCGTTTGAAGACTGGCACTCTGCCGTTACGGCATTATTATGGGATTATGCTGCAAGATGATTAGTTTTACAATCCTATTTACTAGATCTTTTCGAAACGAAAACACATTTTGGAATTTCGATTGACATTTTATGAGTTAGCTCACCTACTGCAAATTTTCCTATTATCTCATAAAATTGACTTTTTGATACGTACAAATATTCCTGTCTAAAACGGACATCTTTGCTTTGCTGTAGCAGTGAAAGGCACAGCCGTAAACGTATCACCAACCGGTGCTCAGTTTGGAAATGGTCAAGCACTTCCTTTTCCTCCATCACAAGTAAGCGCGTTTGCAACGTCCCTCTCCTCGCGCGTTCTCGTTTCGGAAAGATTAAGTAGGATCGTAAAAGTAGTCAGTATGCAACATAATTATATAATATTTCAGTTACCTCAGAATGCTGGCTATCGAATGAACTTCCCTCCGGATGCATGCAAGAACTACACTCTACGAAAAATGACTACTCAAGTAGCTTGCAATTCTTTCATTGATTTTCGATGCCCTTGGTATTTAAATTATATTTCATGAAAAATGCATAAAAATATTAATTCTTTTATTTATTTGATAGGAAATCACGACTTCTATTGCTTCTAATTTTGAACTCAAAAGAAGGGTATGACTTTATTTCAAGAAGTTTATAATTTTGCGAATTTTTAATACCGTGAAATGGCCGTTCATAAGACGGAATGTATCGGCATTTAGGAATGTGGCTTGCAAAGTTGACAATATTGTGCAAATCCATTGCTAATTTTATGAACCCCATATAGTCTGCTCTTTATACCGTAGGAAATGTATGGTTTTCCTTACACCGAAAATATATGGCTAGTAGTTTTGAAACCCTGAATGCAACTGTAACAGCAGGTCGGGTTCGAAATTATACGGG